GCATTGCCAACGCATTTCCTCCAGAGAACAGGTATGTTTCCCACGGCTGATCGTAACATTCACGTTATGAAGAGCTTTGGTGATTCTTTCTTAAGTTCATTCATTCATTAAGATTTCATTCAATGCACGAACCGATTCACCAGAATTCTTGTAAACATTGCGTTCAAATTTTCCATGTTTCCAGGTGTTCGCGAGGTCGATGGTCGTCATGATTCTGTCTCGTCTGCCACTGAACCGGTTGTCATTAATTTCGGATGACATTTATTTATTGTTTTAGTGTTACATGGGGACATTTCGACCTTTTGTCTTTTCGCTATTTTTTACTTTCTGATATTCTACAATTTTCCCTTTCGGCATTTTACTTTCCGACCAATTCATTTTTGCCTAATTTTAGCGAGACCCATTTTCAACCCTCCACCAAGGCTGAACTTTAATTATTGATCCCCAAACCTCGTAGCAGGCAGCTATTTTGGCCCGTTGTTAAACTGTTAGTCTGTTAGCCATTCTTTAACCCGAAACAAAAACACAAACGAAAATGAAAACCTCACTAATTGGTGCACAATTCACAGTTTGTTTCATTAAATTTATTTTTAAAATGAAAGAGTTACAAGCATTTCAAAATAGGGAGTTACTTATCATACACCCTATACAAGTATTTTCTATTAACGTTTTGATTACTTAATTATTGCACCATTTTTATCTGTCGTCATGGAGTGAATCTGGACTATTTCGCCACTCTCTGGAGGATATCCGCCAGTCTGGTGCATGTGTGACGTCGCGAGACTTGCGTCACGACAGCTGGTGGCTACATCCTGCATCGGCTGCCGGATGTGCCATGTCATGTCATGTCATGCCACTTGGGCAGTCTGGTGCCGTTTCTTCTGGAAGCAAATTTTCACCTCTGCTTTTTTTCGTTTCGTTTTGCGATTTTGTTTAGCAGGGACTACATGATGCAATTAACTTTTATCGCATGGGGTTTTTAAATGCTTCTGTCTCCTCACGGCCGGAATTGATTCCGCTCGTTAAAACTCGTCTGCAAAGCTCAGAGTATCAGCAAAGTCCATCGTATAAAACAAATATTTACAACAAAGCAGAGCCTGGCATGAATGAAATGACTGTGTAGGAGCACGCTCCAACATCATCATGTGATTATATCATTTGTTTGGGTTAGAAGCCTACCCAAGGGCTAGACGAGGCCCTCGATGTGACACGTGTACAGCGTTAGATACATCTGGCATTCGTACGATAAAGGTCAATGAGGGATCTCATCCAGACACATTTCGTGTCTGGATGAAATCCCTCTCTTCACCCTCCTCTTGAGCCCCGACACGTCTAAACTCCAATTCGAGTCCCTGTCATGATTTGAGTAGCCGGACTCTGAACCCTCTTCAGCGCCATTAACTTCTTTTTACCGGTAAGCCTCCAAAAATGACTGCGATACTTTAGATGGGCCCTTACCGATGTCCGACATATCATTTTTTAGACCTTTAATGAAGGACCATTTGGACCTTCCCCGTGGTTCTCAAGCACTTGTTGACCTCTCATCTGTGGGACCTGCCTTGGATGACTGATTATACCACTGACACTTACTTGAGCGGCTTGTACCATTAACACCTTTCTCCAATAATCACTTGGATATCCTACCTTTGAAATCAATACGTTGCAGAGAGGATTCATCTGGAAGGGACAAATTCAGACTTCATTCGTTTGGCGTTTATGGAACTCTTGTCAGAGAAAGTAACTTTGAAATGGATGAAGCGAGGCCAGGCACTCTCGGCACAACGTGCCCTAAAGGAATCACATGGCCTCCCACAAACCATCTGTTCCGAAACGAAAGTCGCTGCAATGCCCAGATCATCACCAAAAATATTGAAACGGGTCAGCACTGCACCCAAAGCAGTCGATGAGAAAACTTTCGAGTCGATGGTAGAACAGGAAGAAAGTCTACGGCACTTCTTGAGGGATCACATTTGAAGATTTTTCAAAATAACGATTTTCACTTGAGTTCCTTACACTCTGAGGTTTGGCTTTTCCCCTGGAAATTGCAACTAAAATGTTTTTCATAATGCAAAGCCTGAGCAAGACTTACGAGCTCCAAGTTGCATGCAGTCAATTACATGTCCCATAAGTAATTACTAAGTTCAATCAATACACTCCATAAATCAAATTCATGTCAAGAAATCGAAGGTAGCACCCTTCAACGACCATATTTTGAAGCGCTTGTAGCAAAGCTATTGCCAAAGGAGCGGGGCTCCATGGAGCGAGGACGCAGCTCCCTTGAATGAACCTTTCACCGAATCTCTGAGAGATGTCTCCTCGATTCGGCGTCAGAAGGTAACACCTGAAAAGGAAAGTAATCTTCAATCACATCTGGGCATTTCGTTATTGGAATTTTACCAGGTCTACCAACTGGGATAGGGATATGTCGAAACCTTGCAAGAGGAAGCTGGGTGCCTCGTAGACACCAAATTGCATGTCTCCATTCCTCCCATCTTCAGATCAATCTTGCTCACAATCTGACGGTCACAACAAGCGACGGCAGCTCCGAAGTATCGACTAAAACACGATTCTCCACTGAAGAATTCCGAGACTATCACAGCTCACGCTGACGCGGCGACAGCGAATAACCACTCATCCCGTCTTGCACGTCGGATGCGGCAGTCAAAAAAGGATCACAAAGATGACCGAATCGGAGGAAGCGCGAGATCAGCTGAGACGGAACAGGAAAGAGAAGGGAGAATTCACAGCCGGCTGGATGGGAGAGGAGGACGGAGACTGGCTCATGCGTCTACTCCGTTTCTCTTCTCCCATTTCATTCTTCTTCTGCCTCTCTTTCAAGAGTCCATGTCTCTTTTCTTACACCAGGTTATACTTATCCAGATGATGTTGAATGACTGCGTCCTTCACAGCTACAGACACAATCCTAATGTTCTCCGTATCTGCAATTGAGAATGCCATCTGAAATCAATCAACATATTTTTTTTACATCAAATTTGTAATCTGCAAAATATCTATTGAACACGACCCTAAAATACGGAGAGTGACAATCCCAGCCATGAAGGGAACAAACAATGAAGCACTCAAAACTCCCACAGATTCAGTAAATAATGCACTACAATTTTTCTCAGGCATCGTCGAGAACGGGGAAATACCAGAATTAAATGCAGTCTAATATGATTAAATTCATTCGGGCGGCAATGTCGCTAAGTCTGACCACTTCCTATTTTCAGGTAAAATTAGCTACTTACGGAGTGACGTTGAAGTGACTGCCACAAAAACTTGAATCAAATGCTGATGGTTGCCTTCCGAAAGTGAGAGCGTTTTCCTCGATTCTCAGTCGTCGACGCAAATCATCTACTATGAACCGCCCTACCCGTAATTTCCCCACTTGCATAATTCATGCAGGCAAAAACGTTCATGCTTTGCATACGGCCATGAATTTTCACCGCAGATTCCCCTTATTTCCCTAAAAATTCAATCAAGGTTCGCTGCGTCAATGATACTTTTTTTTTTACCATCTTCCATTCCGTTATCGACCGCAGACGTAGTATTGCGTGAAGAACAGATCTGTATACACGAAAACTCCCCTGACGTGTTTAGACAACCGCGTGCCAAACCATGTGCGCCATCGCTTTGGGCTGCGTATGAAAACTAAATTAAAGATCGGAACTTCCAAAACGCACCACATAAAACATTTCTGCAACCAAAATTCACGCAATGGTTTACTTAATTTCATTTCAGGGAATAGTTTACGGAATTTCAAACCATATACTCATATCAGAACAAAAATACATTATGATCGAACAAAACTGTTGCTATTGAAGTTCATTATATGCCATTAGGAGTTCACAAGACTGTTTGAAGAAGATTACGAGAATATTTTGTGCGGATGAAGGCATTTTAAAACGTCCACCAGTCCTGCAGAAGCGCTCAATATGTCATCCAAAGAGTTCCACAAACTTCAAAGCGCTGAAAATGGAACTGTCTTTCTCATTCTCTCGTTGGACTACATCTCCTCGAATTTTTTTTGCCCAAAAAATACCTACGTTCGGATCAAGCCAATGCTAATACTATTCCAAGGTGCAGAAATGGCAATTCTAGTAGGTCACTTTTAAATGAAAGCTGCAACAACACACTACAATAAAAGGTTATTCAGAAGAAGCGAATGAAATATGAACACCCTATACAACAGGGGCAGAGAGAAATGATAGAAAGTTATAATACTCCTCCATGGCATCCATATTACTTCGTATTTGACATTTGGGGAAGAGGTGGATGCCCTCGAGTCCTTTCGGGGAAAAGAGAAACCCAAGCAAAGAGACTATGTCCAAAAATAAATTATTCAATTCTATATACCCGATTCTTGACACTGAAGGCAACACGCCAGCAGCATTATAGAATCTACAGAACCAGGCGAAACATGTAAGCATGCCGACTGCAAGACGACCTCGTGCGAGAATCAACACGGAAAGGGTCGAGGAGGATATAATACCCTCGGGTCAAACATTCCTGCACTTGACTCGGACCCTCATGCATGGGCCACTCCTCGTGCACTCATGCATGACTCAAGCAATAACTTAAAAATCACGGAGCAGATACGACAGAAACTGTTGTGTCGAAAGATGGCATCCTGGACGGCACAGAAAATCAGGTGGATGGTCTGAGTCCGCAGGAGAGCAAGCAGGGAGACAAATAACAATGATAACAATGTGTTAACATGCATGATTATGGAATTTTTAAAAATGTGAGTTGAGCTCGATTGCGATACAGGTCATTCGTATTGCTAAAGCTCTTTTTCATCCCTTATCTTTGCAAAACTCAACAGTCAGCATCTAAAGCTCTGTGACCGTTTTTCCCATCTGTGCGTCCGACATTCAAGAGCCTGTCCCTAGTAAGCACCAGAGAATGCTGCTCAATTCCTCTGCAGCTTGTCGAGATTGTTTATAGACGGTCGACAAGCGACCGATATTAAACCAACATGCTGCATAACGGGATAAGATTCAGCGGTGAAGGAGAGTGCACGAAACAGCAGGACGTGCACTCTCCTTCAGCAGGACAAGAACTTTACCTGTGGCACACGTGAAATGATAATATATTGGCTTCTCATGATCGGGCATTTGGTCGAGAAACATTCGGAGGATGAATTCCCTTGCTGCTATGGGATCTTCCCGAGGACCTGCGAGAAAATTTGATAACAAGACTTTTCACAGACACATCTGCATTAATTTACTACGACGGAAGAGAAACGGCAGGAAGAACTCACCGTCGTATTCGGGGTAGTAATCCGCAAGGTGATGATGCGTGATCGTCTCCTCGAGCAGGTCCTTCTTGTTGAGGAAGAGGATGAAGGAAGACCGCTTGAACCACGGATACGAGATGATCAATTTGAACAGGGCCTTGCTCTCCTCCATCCGATTCTGTTTTCCCATAAATCATCATGACTCGACCGATCACAGCATCGTGTAGGGTGGCCACGAAGTAGGGGATCTGTTTAGTCCGCAGCTTGTCTGACAGCGTCTTTCCCTTACAAGTTTTAAAGACTACGAGTGACCAAAGCACATACGATATTTACGAGAGACTTGCGGCCTCCGTGTGGACGCACAAACAAACCAGAACCAACCAGAAGGCAAACCAGAACCAACCAGAAGGTAAACCAGGACCAACCAGAAGGTCCTGAGGACATTCTTTTAGTCCTGGGCATCAGACAAATTTTTCGGGAACGTCGCAGAATTCGCAGCGGCTGAAGGCTGCTGTGACTGCTGCTATGGCAGGTGTCGCACCTGACATGCTGTGGAAAATGAATATGCCGAAAAACATGGAGATGCTTTCAAGTGTGTTTGGAATATGGCGATGATCATACAGACAATTATGACAGAAAATTATTAAAGTGATCCCCCACTTCGTAGCTACATGCCAAGTGCTGATAAAAAATGCGCAGCCCTAAGAATGTTCATATTCGAAAAAAAAAACGGAGGAACCTCCTGCTGCGTTTGTCTAGTATGCATCTACATGTTTTTTTATTATGTTTTTTTCCAGATTTTTGCATCAGCTGGTTTAGCCAAACAAGCACTTTTAAGTTCGCAAATAAAATCTCTGGAAAACCCCGCGAGTCCAAGGAGACTCGTTGAAATGAATGGGGTGGCCTTGCGCCTGGAAGACAGCATTCAGACGCGGTTTTCATTGAAAAGTTGCTCTTTTAATTAAATCGCTTCACCCTTTCGTCCAAAAAACACGCTTTAATGCTGCTCTGTCTGCCTGAGACAACTGCATGATCACAACTGACGATAGAAAAACGAAAACGATGAAGCGTACTGGCTTCCCTTCTTCGGCGTGAGGCAAACAACGGGGAAGGGGGGGATTTTCCAAAAGCTCTCTCTGGTTAAATCAGATATATACACATAGGAAATAGGAAATTTGTCATTAGATGACTTTCTTTTGATGCCTTGAAAAAAGAGCAATTCAGTATTGTACATTTTTCTCCGAGGCTTCCTTGCATTAGAGTCGCAAAGTCTAAAGACGCTGCAGAACACAATCCCCACACCCTATGCATCGACAAATCCCTTTAAAAACCATCACACTGGAAACAGTGACTGGACGAACCCCCTTCTCCGACTCGACCAGAACGTGATCGTATTCGGATAAGGCTGCAAGAAAGATGACGGCCGTGACGTTCTCGAAGCAATGGATCCACTTGCGCCGCTCGGAGCGTTGCCCTCCGACATCCACCATCCTGCGGTATAAAATATGTAATGTGTAAAAATAACACATGGAATATCTGCAATGAAGGTAGGAGGGACAGAGTAAAAGTTATACAACAGTTGGATTCCAGTCTCCAGGACCATGAAACGATGAAAGCGACAGAGATTTTAAAATTACGGCGATGGTAGGGAGAAGCAAGCGTCTGGACATGATGGAGCCAAAAACTAAGGATATTTCAGGATCTCTGTGGATTTCAGGGTCTCTGGAACCCAGACCTGAACTGGCAGGAAGCAGTCGGTTGCTTTCTATGCATCATCCAGATACGTAAACAGCCGATAACATTGACATACAAAACATCGAAAACACAAAAAAACTCAGAACTTCACCGTTCTACTTCTTCGGATGGATTCTGATCGTTCGAGTGAAATGGCAAGTGCAACCGCCCGCGAAACGCATGCAAACAAGAAAAAAAAAAGCTAAAATGCCCGTAGCCTTACCTGAACCTGAACTTGAAATTAGTCTCCAGGATGTCGAAGATATACTCCACGATTCCCTCGGTGGGCAGCCTGACTCTGAGGATGTCCTGCTCCGTGGGGAGGTACGAGGGGGATGCTATTCGATCCAAGTCTGACAGGTAGCTGCGATGTATAGAAATGCATAAAAATGTTATCGGGCTTCTCAGGACTTCTCAAACGGCGCCGTGTCGACACCAAGTTTTTGAGAATATGAAATTACTGAGACTCGCGACTCCGATACGCATCAATATTCTGGAATCGCAACCTGGTATAGTGGAATCCATTCGGTTCACAAAACGAGATCACGAAGCCACAGCAAGTCATCACGATTGCTCGTGCTCTCGCGTCATCACCGACAGGACCGCATCTCTTCATCTCCGCATCTCTTCATCTCCGCATCTCGTCAACGATTCTCAGAATACCAGACCGACACGGCGATCGTGGGGGCCAATCGACCGCAATAGCATTGTGACGTCACGTATGCATGCGATCAGGCCGCACAACTTGAGAACGCTTTGGCAAAGATAACTGCGGTTTGCTGTTCTCTTGCATCTGATCATCTTGACGAATGCTCGCAGCAAATTTCTGCACTGTCTCGAAACCTGTCGCAATCTTGACGGTTGGCACTTCGAGAATTCATGAGGGAACCTTGCCATCTCTTTTTTGGGGGTGAATGAAGATTTACCGTAAGATTCCAGACTTTTGAAAAGTATATCGGAGTTAACCAATATTGGCCTAAACCATAAACGAAGACATGAACACCTGCTTTGGCATATCGGAACCGAAGGTCCAATGCACAGATGTGACAAAAACGAATCTTCGACGAAGGGCAATGACAATCCCCTCTTCGATTACTGTGCCAGGAAAAATTTCTGAACAATTTCAGGGCGAGATAAATAAAAAAATGTGCAAGCAAGATAACGGTTACATTTCGTGAGACGATCGAACGAAGTCATACTATTTAGCAGAGTCGCTCAGATGGTATTCCTTCCTGCGGTCGTAGCATTCTTGGATTCCGGAGTCTTGCCAGAGGGTTCTAATGGCGTTAACGTGGATCTCTTCGAACGCTGTCACTCGATCGTCATCCACAGACATCACGAGCTCTGCCAGATGCTACGGGAGAAAAATTAATTTAAATAAAAGGAAATTACTAATTTTAACGTGTTTAATTTAATTTATCGCTGCAGAGACGTCACCATCCAAAAAATCTCATCAGGAAAGAATTCGATCAAGAGCGGATCGCAAAAAGGCACCATACACGGCACTCGGGGTTCCCGTATTGGATGTTGAGGCGCTCCATCGCCCGTATCATCGTCTTCGTGGCGTGGAAGATGTTCTGGAAGATGAGCTTGATGAAGCCTCGCTTGTCTTGGTCGGAGTAGCCGCTTCCGTGGATGATCCGCATCTGCTTGATGAAGGTGGACTTCCCGGACTCGCCAGTCCCTGATCACGAATATAGATATGTATATATATATGTATATATATAGAGAGAGGATGTTTCAGAGCCAGGAATCTAGCACACTTGCGAAATTAACTGGAAGGGTAATGAGATTATATTGCCCCTTTCCAAGTCGAATATAATGCGATGGATATACATGGACAGAAGGATAAGCCCTCGACCAGCCGGCCCAGCGACCGCAGAATCCTCCGACAGGAATCCTGATTTTATCGTAAAACGCCGGGCGGATTAGGGGGTCCAGGCAGAAGAAGGCCATGAAGGAAAAGAAAACGAAGCTCCGGGCTAGATTTTTGACGCTTTTCGACCGATATCATAGAGTAGCGAATGTAACTAGAGGCGACACTCCGAGGGGTAGGGGAGGATCGAAATATTACAGAGACATCTGGTGGTCTGTTATCAACAACATTTCCATTCGGCGTGCTTCGTGGCAGCTGAATCGGGAAATCGACTCCTTCGGGGATTCGACCCAAAGGGATCCCTCAACGTAACGCGCGTGTCTCGTCGAGTCGGCTGCTCGGCAGCGGAGGATCGACAGCGACATCTGTATTGCGACCCTGTCGATGAATGGGGCTCGAGAGGAATGGAAGCCTCTAGATATATTCTCTACTCTATGCCGATAGAGCATCGATAGCTATTAAAACCTGTTACTGCGGTCAACTGAACATGCTAGGAATATTAGATAGAACTTGGAAGTACTCCAAATTCCAAGGACAACCTCGGCTGAAGTCTCTCTGCATCGTCTGCTAATGATGAGCTCAAAATGTCTCGCGACAAAGCTACTCGAAACAAGCCATAGAGCAAGCAGCCAACAGAAGACGTTCGTCATTTACAGGGATGATGATACCCAAATTGCCCCTGGTGAGAGGAGCCTTATTCCCACATATATGGACATCTGTAGATCGACTCTGTCCTCGTATATCCATCATATTATGTATACTGTATAGCTCGTATGTATGTATATTTATGAGCCTAAGATTTAAAAATATATATTGGCTAAATAGGCAATTACCTGGTCGTGCAGTAAACTGCCCCCAACCAAGGAGGGCAGATAGAGTAAAAGAAGTCAATTTTTGGTGCCGATTCTGATCGGAAACACCCAAGGACGGCAGAAAATGCCCAGCGTCTGAGCTCAGAAACACAGAACAGAGAGACCAAAATCCGAAGACCAAATTATTGTAAACAGCCTGCACGATTGGGGTAAAGCTTACGGAAGCTAAAAAAAAAAGAACGGACAGCGAAGGACGGCCGAACAAACCCATCCGGAATTGTTTCTGCCGTCAGGCGTTATTGTCGCACATCTAAGTAGATCTAAGGTCCAATGTCCCAGAAGCGATCCCGGGCTTGAGTCCGTCTGTTAACGTCACGGTTTAACGATTTATTGGCTCGACCAGCCTCACGACTGAAACGCATGGTAGACTCAAGCCCATAAAGGAAGAGGAGGGGGAAGACTAAGTGAGGAACAAGCCCATAAAATAAAAAGTGTCGCCTAAGGAAAGGCCCTACCCATGCATTCCAGTTCACTGCGTCGTGCACTGAGAGATTGAAGCGATGCTCAGATTGCCTCTGCTACCTTCAGGCCTTGGCCTCGAGGCACATTAGGCCGATACCCACCTATAATAACATTATAGGCAATATGCCGACAACGTACCGGCACGTTGCCTATAATGGTTGCTTTTGTCTGACACACACGGAGTCGCGAGTCGATCGGCAATGCCGGGGTGTACGGGAGAGCAACGAGGGCCAAAGGAACGAGGACCAAAGGAACGAGGACCAAAGGAACGAGGGCCAAAGGAACGTCGCCGGCCGGTCGTGCCACCGGAATGGGGTGCGAACGGCTCCCGGATGACAGGTTCGTGTCGATTCAAATTCTGAGTCGCGTTTCTTGTCGACCCTTCGGGTCGGGTCATCTCGGAGCCGGTTTCCCTTGCGCTCACGCGAGCGAACGTCATGCTCGCGTCCCTTCTCGATGGTCCGTATGAGGATTCATTCCATCCAGTGCATCCGAGCCGAAGCGTGACCGAAACGTATCGAGAAAATTGTCGTTTCTTGCAGATCGTGGAATATTCGAGGCCGCCCGCTTCCGTTCTCATCCATCACGTCGTCTCTGTTTCTCCGAATCCAAATTTAAGGGACTGAAGTAAGAGATGCTCAGGGGGCTTCTCATCGTGCCCAGATCGAGTCCACTGAAATCGAGTCGAGTCCAAAAAAAAAGGAGTTCTAGCTGTCAAAACCGAGCGATATCGAGTGGTAACGAACCGCGGACGTGACTGGGCCGGGCGAACGCATTTTGTTTCGCTGGGGAAAGGGTCTTGTAGCGTGACGAGGCAAAAAAATGATGGAGTGCGCTACCGTTCAGCGTTGAAGCGTTTCCATGCTCCAAGCTCGATTTTACGATAACGGTTCTCCGTTGCTTCACTCTTCCGCCACGAAGGTGCTATACAGGAAAGTACTACGATTTTTACTGCAACGACTTGTGGTGTTCGACACATTCCTTCCAAGGCGTATAGATATGGATAAGGTGTGTACTCGAGCTTCGGAGATCGAAAGACGCTGCATGCAAGACCCAAACGATCCAAGATGCCGACAGGCAAAGTAGTTTACCTGGCGAAGCTTACCCAGAAGCAGCATCTTGAGCTCCCGCCGCGACTCCCGCTTCAACTGCCGCTGCTTCTTGTCGATCTCCCAGCTCCTGCGCCGCTGCTCCTTGTCTTCGCCGCACCCGCAACAGGCCATCTTCCCCCTTCGCTCCGGCGCGGAGCGACTCGCATCCGCGTCTTCGCGCGTCACGCCTCGCCCGCGTCGGGGGTCAGACGGTCGAGCGGTTGGGCATCGTCGTGCATTTATGTCTGGTCGATCGCTACGTGTTTTCTTCGATCCGCTTTAAATCCCGGACGTGCACCGATTCGGAATTTCATTTATGAAACTGGAAGGACAGAAGAAACAACGTACTTGAAACATCGTACTCGAAACAGGTATTTGAAACAGCGTACTCGAAGCTCAGCGGCCGCTTAGCCTAAAGGCTGACAGGGTAAAGATAACACTAATGATTGAGTTAATTATAATGTTAACTATAATTATAAAGACTAATGATAACGATTAAATAAAGTGAATGAGGTCACATTTTCATGTTGCTACCCGTGACTTGCAAATAAATTTCCACTGGTCGAATGCGATTTTCGTCTGAGAAATTTCCTGACCTGTCTGGATGAACCGTGCTCGATGTTCAATTTGGCACAACTTATTTGCAAATCATTATAATAAATGGGAGTCCGACAAGTGGGTCAGGTCCAGCCCGCTGCGAGACGTGAAAATTGCGCGTATTCCAAAAGTTGTGCGATCGTAATCCCTGCAACGGGTTCCAAAAAGGATTATTTCCAAGAAATGAGACGAGGAAAGATAATAATGCTTCGATTTCCACACAGGTTCGTTTGCTGTTTGGCTTTCTCTTATTTGCCCATCAACGAGACGGGACTGTGTCGATTCTCGACGAGGAGGGAACATGACTCTAATTGCTGCGATTTCTGCCCCATTTCTGGTGATCCACAGAAATCTTCGGAAACTTTTGGATGACATGAGTGCCGTGAGTGGACCAGAAAAAAACTAAGCTGTCTTCATTTCACCGAAGATCGATCCATCGATACCCGTCCCATTTATCGCGGTGAAGCTTTCTTCCAACCGGAAGTAAAGAGATAGCGTAGGTTCTCGATCAGCCCCCATCGCCGTTAGCCGCGGTGCGCTCGAGGCGCGTCTTGTATGGCAGAACATTTTGAAAAAATTGTGAGGCACTAGGGAGAGCTTACATTGCCGATTTATGCCACGGAGCACGCTCGGCCTTTACACGAAGGATGCACGACCTTTTTTCAGAGGGCCTGATGGTAACTGCTGAGCCGGATCGCGGGTCGGACATCGGGGGAAGCAGGACAATCTTCAACGGGATGGCAGTGCCTGCGGAAGGATTTTATCCGGCTGCGGGCCGGATCAGGCCCGCGGGCCAGAGGCTGTGCATCCCTGGTTCACACTCAAGTCCATGTCTAAGCGGGATTCCTCGAGGGGAAATGCTCACTCTCCGAAAGGGATGGATGCTCGTCGCATCCAGCCCTTTCTAGCGCATGGGTCGGAATCGAGTCGGTTCGGTTTACTTTTCGAACGGACGCGGCCGATGAAGACGATTTGGCCGCTTCCCTTTCGCCTCGTCGATCGTTCGGTGCGGGGAGGGACGAGTGGCCGGGAGCGAGAAAGTTTCACGATCCGACCGAGTCGCGGCGAACGGGAGGGGAAACGGGCCTTTCGCGGAGAGACGGCTCGAGGATTTGCGTCCGAGGAGAAAGGGAAGAGAAATATTCTTCGCGTTTTACTCTCGACATCGGCCGCTCGTTGGAATTTGCCCTCGAGGGGTGAGTTCTTCCAGGGCTTTTTCCGAGCGAGGAGAAAAAAAAAAGAAGAAGCGAGACCGCGAATCCGAGGGATCCGATCTGCATTTCTGCCAAGAACGAGTGACTCATCCGGGAATGACTAATCTTTCCTTATCCTAATCCTAATCGGCTGCGCCCATTTACGCTCATTCGCTTAAACTCGACTCGCACGTGGCACCCAAAGGAAAAGACAGAAACGAGTATGTTTTTTCCTGTTTCTCCATCTCTTCCTTTTTACAAAAAAAGGCTTTCCCGAATATTTCTCCCATACGAGCCCGACACGTTGGAATGCCGACACGCTAGGAAGGTTCATGAACTGGTCGATATTGTAAACATTGTAAGCCGAGAACCGAAAACCGCCCCGAAAAGCGCGTTCGTGTAAACATCGGATGGTGTATTTTTATCGATGCGCAGCCAAAGTATCTTCCGGCTGGGTCGCCTCGGCCTGATTTACACCGGTGTGAATTCTTGGTGGGAATTACGAGGGGTGCGATCGCGTGCGTGGACTCTGGGGGATTCTTTGGAAATCACCGAGAATTTCCTAACAAAGCATCGTTCGCTTCACCTTGACCTTGGGAGTTTTACTTTTTTCCCTCTACAAGGCATCCTCTCGCTTCGATTAAAAAGAGATCGAGGCTGGATCGAGGGCATTTTTTTAAATGCAACTACGACGAGTCACGCCGAAAGCACTCGACCGACGACACGATCACGCTGGCACAGAAACGACGGGTCGGAGCGACCCGCAACACGTGCGGAGGCTGCCGAGTCGGTCCGGCGACTGAGCGGCACCGGCCATGCGCAGTCCCGAGAACGGGTCGGCCTCGGAAGGGCGGTCGTGCTCCCGACGAAAACGACCAGAACCTGGTGAAATCCTCCCCGCCAGCCGTCCGTGCGTGCGCGGC